TGTCCACATCCAGCTGTTGACAGGACCTGGCACCATGTGATTTTTTAGCTCTTTCTCAAAGCCAAAATGACATGAAAAGTAAACTTTTTGAATTGATTCAGGACATCAAGGCAGCCATGACAGCACAACTGAAGACATTCATGAGAGAGGACTTCCAGAATGGCTTCAGAAAGTATCAAGAACAATGGGATAGGTGTGTTGGAAGCAAGGGCGAGTATTCGGAGGGGATTAATGGCATGTGTCTTCTACTGTAATAAATTAAAAAATTTAAATACTGTGCTTTTTGATCAGCCCTGTACATATTACGTGCATACATGTGAGCACGTGTAATATGTGTATGAGTTTGTATAACATGGGACTGTGACTACGGGTAAGGCTTTTCTCTTTTATATGCAGTACAGCTTCCCATAGCCAGCACTGGGATTTGTTATCAAGTTCTCAGTCATGTACACACAGATTTCTATTAGGGTCTAGAAAAAGAACATAGGATATCTGTTTTAATCACAACATCATACAAACACACAATTACCTCTCAATGTAAAATCTAAAAAGAGTTAGAAAAAAAAAGAATCCTAAGGTAACTCCTCCCTCAACTCCACATTTCTATCTGGTGTTGGTTCATACATCTCTGGTCTCCACTTCACCTGGGGCTCAATTTAAATAATCCAGTCTCCTAGATTTAACCATCTAGTCACCATCTAGTATCCAGGGAAAAAACTTTAAAAATCACACTTTTATATTAATACTTTCAAATACCAAGTAGACAGGAACATTGTCTAATATTGGGGATTTATGAGAGGGTACTGTCTTTTCAGACCAATTCTTAGTTCTCTATAGTGATATGTTCTTGTTACTTTTTAAATTTAATTTTATTTTTTTTGGTACCAGGGATCGAACTTGGGTCCTTCTGCTTGCGCAGCAGGCGGCGAAACCATTGTTACTCTTTTTAGATTTTATTTTGCGAGGTAATTGTTGATTTCCAGGGTACTGTAAGAAATAAAGATATTTCATGTTCTTTTTCTAGTAACTTTTATTAAGTTAACTTTGCTTATGGTTTTACAGTTTACAAAGTGCTTTCATACATCTCTTTAATTTTCGCATTACCTCAATAATCCTAAATCCAAAGTAAGCCTAGGAGGTGAGTATTCTTACCAATCACATTTTACAGAAGAGAAAATGGAGGCCTAAACATTTCACTTGGTTTGTAAACAACACAGTCAATAAGGAGCAGAACTTGGGTATTTTTTGCTTATTTCATCTTAATAATATATACCTTCCTTTCTATTACAAATTCATAGAACCTGATTTTTTTCAAAACTAGGAATATGCTGACAATTGTATTGACAAAAGAGGAAGAAGACTTTCTTTAAAAAGGGGTAAAGTAGGGAAATTTTTGTAATCAAACAACTTGTTCATGAGTAAACAGTTTTGTCTTAAATCATTATACATTTTACCATTTGGGGAACCAACACATTACTTTTTGGATCAGATAATTTTTCCACTGGAAGAAACCCTGTTTCAGAAATCAACTGTTTAACAGGAAAGGCAGATCTGGTTAAGTGTAAGGGTGTCAGACTGTAACAGGAAAAGGCAGGCCAAGTGCCAGTCACATTAGATTTTGATCACAAAATGTCACTGGATGGTTTATTAGTCTACAAACTCTCAGGAAAAAGATTTCTTGACAACAGGTTATCAAATATGGACTTACCACTGTGACTGGATGATGTTTTTCCACAACAACTGAGCTCATGGGAGGAGAAACTCCCATTATAGCTAAACTGCTATGAATTCTGGTTTTTGAAGCAAAATCACATCTCCCTGTGATC